CAGTATGGTACTGGCACAAACACAGACACAAAGATCAATGCAACAGAATAGAGAACCTGGAAATGGACCCTCAACGCTATAGTCAACTAATCTTTGACAAAGCAGGAAAGAATGTCCAATGGAAAAAAGACGGTCTCTTCAACAAATGGTGCTGGGAAAATTGGACAGCTACAAGCAGAAGAATGAAACTGGACCATTTCCTTACACCATACACAAAAACAGACTCCAAATGGATGAAGGACCTAAACAAGAGACAGGAATCCATCAAAATCCTAGAGGAGCACACAGGCAGCAACCTCTTTGACCTTGGCCACAGCAACTTCTTGCTAGACATGTCTCCAAAGGCAAGGGAAACAAAGACAAAAATGAACTATTGGGACTTCATCAAGATAAAAAGCTTTTGCATAGCAAAGGAAACAGTCGACAAAACCAAAAGACAACCGAAGGTATTTGCAAATGTCTTATCAGATAAAGGGCTAGTATCCAAAATCTATAAAGAACTTACCAAACTCAACACTCAAATAATAAATAATCCGATCAAGAAATGGGCAGAAGAGGGGCACCTGGGTGGCTCAGTTGGTTAAGCAACTGCCTTTGGCTCAGGTCATGATCCTGGAGTCCTGGGATTGAGTCCTGCATCGGGCTCCCTGCTCAGCAGGGAGTCTGCTTCTCCCTCTGACCCTCCCCCCTCTCATGTGCTCTCTCTCTCTCTCTCTCAAATAAATAAATTCTTTGAAGAAAAAAAAAAAGAAATGGGCAGAAGACATGAACAGACATTTCTCCAAAGAAGACCTACAAATGGCCAACAGACACATGAAAAAATGTTCAACATTACTCGGCATCAGAGAAATACAAATCAAAACCACAGTGAGATACCAACTCACACCAGTCAGAATGGCTAAAATTAACAAGTCAGGAAATCACAGATGTTGGGGAGGATATGGAAAACAGCGAACCCTCCTACACTGTTGGTGGGAATGCAAGCTGGTACAACCACTCTGGAAAACAGATGGAGGTTTCTCAAAAAGTTGAAAATAGAGCTACCCTAGGATCCAGCAATTGTACTACTGGGTATTTACCCCACAGATACAAATGCAGTGATCCAAAGGGGCACCTGCACCCTAATGTTTATAGCATCAATGTCCACAATAGCCAAACTATGGAAAGAGCCCAGATGTCCATCAACAGAAGAATGAATAAAGAAGATGTGGTGTGTGTGTATATATGTATATTATATATGTATATATTATATATATACATTATATATATATAATGGAATATTACACGACCATCAAAAAATGAAAGGGTGTGATATGATGGCCCCTTCTCATTCACATCCTTATCCCTCCTGCAGTGTTTGGCTTTGCTGATCTTCCTGAAGCTCTCATCATTGGCTTCTATTCTTTCATGTGAATCTTGTGATTACCTGAAGCTGAAAATACAGACTAGAAGCCCGCTCTGTAAAACTTCAATTCATATTGACTTGACTTGAGCATAGCTTTCATCATATAAAACAAAGTTGCCACTGGTAACAATAACTATATATTAGCTATAGCTACAAGCTCAAGGCCAGTCTTCAGATGTATATTGATCAAGCAACTGTCAGTGCGTCAATCTCTTTGGTCTTTTAAATACAAATATCACAAACCATCTTTTAATGAAAGACAGACCTATTCTCATTATGGAAGACATCTACTGGCCATCTCATGACGTGTCTGGCTTCTCTGGAAAATAAATCTCCATTGAAGTCCCCATGCCCAATGCTGCCCCACTCACACATCCACATGGGCAGTGGCTACAACTGATTGATGGCAGAGGTGGGCCCCTGTCCAAAACTGGGTTATCTTGAGTCTTTCCCATGATTTTACACAAGAACTGAAAAAAAAAAAAAGGAAGTCAGTCTCTCACTGTCTCTACAAAACAGAAGTCAAGAGCATGTAAATTCAAGAGCTGTTAGGAACCACACTCCATCACGTGGACGGAAGAGCAGCAAACAGCAGTCAATTGTAAGCAAAAAGACTGATGAAAGCACCAGAAGGGCACAGGGAAATACCTCCACAGCCTGGCACGCTGATAACCTTGCACATCTCCATATAACCCTATAGGTAGGGCTAGGCCACAGTCTGAGCCGAGTCTTGGCAGAATGCCCTGTGATTTCCTCTGCCCTAAGGGAAGATAAGCAGACTGGTGAGGAAGCGCTGAGAAGCGGCTTCTCTCATTATCTCATGGAAGACTGCCATAGGCCATTTCTCATCTATCTCCCTAGTTTCAGTTGAACACAAGACTTTCCACCTCACTTCCACTTAGGGAAAGCTGCAGCCTTCAGTGTAAGTGGATAAGACTGTTTGGCTGTGGTTCTGAGGTGTCTCCTCACCAGCAGAGTGACCCACAGCTCATACCGTGTATCATCTGGCCTCTTCAGTTTGGTGTCCTCCGTGGAATAAGGGACACAGGGAACTGACACCATAATGACTTGCTTTTCCTGTCTTTATAAGTAATTAGCTGTCTGAATCCATTTGGGCATGTTTACTCGTTACCAGGCAAATCTACGGAAGTATGGCAAGCTGTCCTAACAACTGTATTAGGATTACCTGTGACTCTATTATTAACCACCACCCTGCTGCCTTGGAAATGCTTAACCATTTCACAAAGTGAGGAAGGGTAAGAGATGGCAAGAGTTCACTTCCTGAGTTCCCCTCAGTGCTCTAGCTCCTGATTCCAGTCTCCTCCAGGAAGGTATCAAGACCTTGAATTCCACGAGAAACCCTGGTATTTCTCCAATAAACCTCCCCAGCTTTTTTTTTTTCCCCTTAAGAAAGCCAGAATGTATTTTTAACCTTTACCTTCCAAAGGTCATATAATATACACACAGAGGGTGTTGCATTTGATGACATTACCAGTAGTCAGAACTCCAGCACTAGAGATTCAAATGCATTTTCTATATTTATTAAAATTCTACCTTTCTTGTATATTAATTTCTTTTTGGCCCTTGACCTAGTATACGTAATATGATTAGTCTGTGTTTATTAAAGTCCAATAAATATAAAATTTTATGAAAATGTTATTGCCCAAGTAGAAGAAAACATGACTGTTTTTCTATACTATGATGAAAGTACAAATTATTCTCATCATTTATCAATAATTCCATACTACTAACTATATAAATCAACTACATTATGTTTAATTTACCTTAGAAATATACTAATTTTCATTCACATTAGTTACATGATGGAATCACACATGATATTTGTGCCAAATATTTATCATCCAACAAAACAGTGTAAGTACGATTATAGTTTGATCTACTCTTAACATCCCTTGAATTTAGCTGTATCTAGCATAGAGTATGATCAGATGCTTCTGAATCATTAGTCATAGGTTAGGATGTTCACCTACAATTACAGATGCTTCTGAATCATTAGTCATAGGTTAGGATGTTCACCTACAATTACAGATGCTTCTGAATCATTAGTCATAGGTTAGGATGTTCACCAATTAGCCTTATTCTCCTATTGGGACAGCTAAGTTTTCTTTGATCAGGGTCATGGATTCTGAATCAACTGAGTCAGGACAGCTAGTAGAGTCTTGGACATTGTGAAACTGGCCAAAATGGTGAGTAAATTGGTGAAAATTCATCATCACTACTGAGAAACAACTAAAAAAGTAGACAGTGGGACTACTAACATCATAATTATGGATGGACAAAACACAATCACATATAAAAGATGAATACCTTGATTGCCATATTAATGAAGTATCATCTTTAGGAAAGTATACAGACTGTAATTGATACATCTGGCAGTATGTGCAACTCCTGAGAGGCAAGTAGTTCATGACATACTGATAACTAGTCAATTTATAATAGGCCTTTATAAAAAGTCCAAGTTTGTTTGAAAATTAATTTTACTAGTCGATGTTAAACATTAGACATCTAGTCACTCTCTCTCTCTTTTTTAAAGATCTTATTTATTTATTTAACAGAGCGAGAGAGTACAAGCAAGGAGAGCAGTAGGGGAGGGAGAAGCAGGGTCCCCGCTGAGTAAAGAGCCGGATGCGGGACTCGATCCTGGGATTATGACATGAGCTGAAGGCAGACGCTTAACCATCTGAGCCACCCAGGCGCCCCTAATCACTCTCTTAATATGATTTACTAGAGTTGCCACAGTATAACTTATTAAGAGACTATTTACATTTATAAAAATGTTTTATGGTGATGAGTGAATTACAGTAATTATAAATTTAAAATAAAAATGCATCAGTTATGAAAAATTTTCAATTAACTCATAATTTGTTTTAAAATATCTTTAACACACATTCACACAACATAACCTCGTGGGTTAGTAACTTTCTCTAGCCACACTTAGTAACTATTTCCACGATTAGTTCTAACAAATTTTTTCTGAAGGTTTTTTCCCCACAGCATAACTCTCCACAAATTAACGTGAGCCGATTATACCAAATGTGTTTATATGTGTTAACATATGCATTTAATTTTAGTATGCCTATGTAAGGCACGAATAGCCCCAAGCAAGCACAGCCTGCGTGGAGAAGACCTGCGGAATCCCGAGGTATGTACTTTAATGAGGGAGGCAGGACTTACGTAAGACCTGAATTACCCAGAAGAAGGCTACAACTGAGAGCAACACTAAGTCTGGGCAGAAACTGGATCGTTTCAAGTAAGAAACCAGCGAGGCATAAAGGTCTCGTCCAAGTTGCAGGCCTTGGGGCTGCCTCGCTCGCTTTCCAGGTCAAGGGACACGGGAGGCGGGGCACCCGGGAGCGGCGGCGCGGGGCGGCGGCGACTTGACCTGGGGCACCCGGCGTCCGCCGCCCGCTCCCGGCCTCCTTTGCTCTCGCACTCGGCGGGCTCGGGCGCTGCGTTTGCAGCGCGCAATTCAGAGGAGAAACTTCGGGCGGGAGACTCGTCTGAGGAAAGTTTTCGGGACACGCGAAAGGGAAGGGAAAAGCGACTGGCCCGCGGCGGAGCGGGGCGGCCTTACCAGCGGAACCACCGGCCAGGATCTGGCGAGAAGCCTCTTTCACGAAGCCGGCGTCGGGCTTGGCGGACATCTTCGCAAGCCGGGCACAACGGAGTGGGCCGAGAAGAGTAGGCGAGCTCGCCGGCCTCAGTGCGGACCTGTAGAAATTCCTCTGATCGAGAGCGAGCCGGCGCTGGGTAGGTCCTTGCGCCGAGTGGCTCCCTGTAAGGCGGCAATCCGGCCACTGCTCGGAGGTGGCGGCTCAGAGCGCAGACTCGCTGCGTGATCTCCCGCGGGTCCGAACCTGCCCGCTGCGCCCCTTCAAGGGCTCTCTGTCGCCCCTGCTAGGCCCCGTGGGCTCCAGGAAGGACCCTGGCGGAGAGAAGACTCGCGGATGGGGTTGGGTTGGCCGCCCGCGGTGGGTCGGGTTTGGTTCCCTAGATTGGCGCCCATGCGCTTCTCTATCAGGAGCCTCCTGCAGTTTGTCAGGCTGGAAGCGCAGCCTCTGATAACGCTTGCAAAGAAGCGAGCCTGGCCTAGCGGCGGGGCTGGGGCGACCCTTGCCCTCCCGGCAAGCCCGCGCTCCCGCAGGTTCTAAAGGCCGGATGGGTGAACACGTTCCTTGGAGTTAGCGGTCCTGCAGTTGTGGGCTGTAGAGACCCAAGTCAGAGCAAATCCAATTTACAGTTACCTTACAACTAAGTGAATGTAGTCCTTTACAAACTGGCTTAAGGGACTTCATCACACTTGAGTTTTATTTACTGAAAGACCGAAATAAGGAAGAGGCCTTGTTACAAAGAAGTCTCTTCAGTACTCCACGTCAGTGTTTCTCAAAGTCTGAGCTTAAGATCGAGCAACATAAGCGTAATGTGAGTTTGTAAGAAAGGCAAATTAATGGCCCTATCCCTGTCTACTGAATCAGAATCTCTGAAACCTGTGTTTGAGTAAGTTCTCCAGTGCTTGTTAAGAACGTTAAAGTTTGTGAAGCACAGAGCTAAATAATCAAGGAATATTAAGGAACTGTCAGGATATTCTTTCTATAAAAACTTCCATTATTCGTACCAGCCCTTTAGGATATTCGGCAAAATGCAATGATTTATACTATTTTTAAACCACAAGTTACAAATGCTGTGTAGAAGAGAGACACACTATTACGAAATTTTAGAAAACTACCTGCGACACCCCTAACAGGTAGGAGATGATACCAGTAAAAGGTAGAATGAGAGGATTGGAACCCCTATTGTCATATTATTTCTTAAACATTGTATTTAATACTAAATATATTCAGTTTGAACCATGTAGAATTGCCAATTTTGAAAACCAAAAACAGTTGAATATCAGGAATGTAATAAAACTTAAAAAATGTTTTCCAATTAAATGTGCAAAATACAATAATTACTTTCATATTTTGTTTTTATTTCTGAGGCTGAGCTATTAAAAGCTGTTAATGATATGGGCAAAATTGTTGAAAGTAAGGAATTGGGTAGACTTGCTGCTTATGGATCAGATACGCAAAAATAAGTTTTCTCATATTTGATTAAATATTTGACTAAAATTACTAAGTTTGGAATGTTTACCCAGAAATAGTTTTCAGAAATTTTTGCTGTTTAAAGTAAAAGCTTTTGAGAAATGTTTCAGTCTTTTACTAATTAAATTTGAGGTCTTGAGTGCAATATAGAATCACTTATTCAACAAACTTTAAGAACCTATTATATTCTGAGCACTAAAATCAGAATTTCAGAGCTCATAGAAAACATTTCCCTTGTTTTCCAATGAGGAAACTGAGTTTCCCAGGATCACACCATGAGTTAATAACATTGCTGGGATTTGATTTCAGGATTCCCTCTTCTAATTGCAATGGGATTGTGGATTTAAATATTAGCCACTAGCCAAACTACGTTCTGTCACACAGAAACCTAAAATAATTAAATGCCCCCCCAAATTAATGTTATTCATTCACATATGTAAGTGGAGAATTTTTTTAAGGTTAAAAAAAAAAGTCACAACTATTGAACCCCAAGGCATACACTGAACCAAATTCTACATTCATTCATTGAAAGCTTCCCTATGTGCTGGCAATGTAACACTTAAAATCCCTGATAGAGCGTATAATCTAATGAAGGAAATCCCACCATATTGCAATATAAGTAAAATTTTGTCTTCCTTAGATTATTTCAGGAAATACAATAATACTCCCAGGTCAAGATTTAAAGATAACTTTTTTTTTTTTCTCCCCCAGTCAGATCAGTGTAAAGATAGATGTTTAATCAATTCTATGAGTACCTTAATCTCTGAATATCTTATCCTGAGGAGGTGGGTGCAGATTTGTGGCTCACTAAGACCTCAGCCTCTCAACACCTGTAAATTCAGTGAGAAGACTCTCCTAGACATAGTTCCAAATATCATTAGAAAATTGCTACCAATTTTTTTTTTTTTTAATTTGACAGAGAGAGACACAGTGAGAGAGGGAACACAA